AATTCTCTTTCACTATGTAGCACCCAGCACTTATCATGGAAGGAAGGGAAGAGAGTCGCATGCTACACCATACTCAAAAGCACAGGGTATTCCTCTTCTTCTGGATCTCCCAAATTCCGCACCATGAAAAGGAGAGTCACATGCTCCTGATACTTGAAAGTATGGGCTATTTCCTTTCACTCTGGAGCGCTCAGAGCTGCATCATGGAAGGAAGGAGGAAGAATCTTAAGCTCCCCCATGGTCAGAAGTATGGGGTATTCCCCTTCACTCTGGAGCACCCAACATTGCATCATGTAGGGAAGGAGAGAGAGTCACATGCTCCCCATACTTGGAAGTACAGGGTACTCCCCTTCACTCTGTAGCACTAAGTGCTCTATTAGGAAGGGAGAGAGTAACATGCACCTCCATATCAGAAGTACAGAGTATTCCACTTCACTCTGCAGCACCCGGTGCTGCATCTTAGAAGGAAAAAAGAGAGAATCATATACTCCCCCATAGTCAGAAGTATATGGTATTCCCCTTTATTTGGAGCACCCAGCACTGCATCCTGGGAGGAAAGGGAGAGAGTCACATGCTCACCCATACTCGGAAGTAAAGAGTATTCCCTTCACTCTGGAGCACCCAACACTACAACATGGAAGGGGAAGGCCCCTACATACTGGAGACAGGGTATTTCCCTTCATGGAGCCCCTACATGGAAAGAAGGACTGAGAAGCTACACATACTGGGTACATTTCCCCTTCACTCTGGAGCACCCAACACTAGAACATGGAAAGTCAAAGGAGAGAGGGTCACATGCTCCCACATACTGACAAGTACAGGGTATTCCCCTTCACTCTGGAGCACCCAACACTACAAATGGAATGGAAGGGGAGAGTCAAATGCCCCCACATACTGAGAAGTACAGGGTATTTCCCTTCACTCTGGAGCACCCAACACTACAACATGGAAGGAAGGGGAGAGTCACACGCTCCCACATACTGAAACGTACAGGGTATTCCCCTTCACTCTGGAGCACCCAGCACTGCAATATGGAAGGGAGGGGAGAAAGTCACATGCTCTTCCATACTCAGAAGTTCTTGGTATTCCTCATCCTTTGGAGCACCCAACATTTCAACATGGAAGGAATGGGAAAGAGTCACATGCTTCCCCATACTGAGAAGTACAGGGTGTTCCCTTTCACTCTGGAGCACCCATCACTGCATCATGGAAGGATGTGAAGAGGATCACATGCTCCCTCATACTCGTAAGTACAAGCCAGGAGTATAGATAAGGGGCGGTTGGGGGGGCGGATCCCTGTGTCTCTTCTTAAATTGCCAGGGGGGGCGGGTCCCTGTGTCTCTTCTTAAATTGCTAAGGGTATCCCCTTTCACTTTGGAGCACCCAGCAATGCATTATGGAAGGATAGGAAGAGAGTTACATACTTCCTCATACTCATACTCAGAAGTACAGGCCAGGGGCATAGATAAGGGGTGGTTGGGGGGAAGTCCAACTCCCCCCAGAGTGTCCTGCTACAATGCCAAGGGTATCCCCTTTCACTTTGGAGCACCCAACACTGCATCATGGAAGGAAGGAGAGAAAGTCACATGCTCCCCCCCATACTCAGAAGTACAGGGTATTCCCCTTCACTCTGGAAGACAAATGGAACAGCAGGGTATGGAAGATGTGGTGAGTATAACACTGTGGGATGGATGTGTAATTAATTATGTTGCTTTGTCCTGCATAGAAGTAGTTCAGACTCACCATAAAGATAATCCCCACATTTGGTTGAAGACTCATTCCCTAATTGCTCTTCATTGAGGCCATTACTATCACCATTTAATGGAACATAAAAAGTCCCATCAGTCTATTAAAAACCAACACGTGGCCGGTACTGAAAGGGTGAAATGAGGTGATAAGCACACAGGACAATGTGACACAGAAGAGGGGCTCATTGACAATTAAAGGGTCCTTGGGCTGGTGGAGGGTCAGCTCTTCTGATCTACATAACAATGGCCAATTGTGATTGACATTCCCAAAGCTCCCAGCATCCTCCACTCTGACCATCTGCACTTGGAGGGATGAAAGCAAGTGTCTTCACCCAGGTGCCCGAATATGGGCAGATTATTTCACGTTTTAAAAACAAATTTGGCTCATAATAGCCACATGTGTGCGACAAACCCAGCTATACCTGTTGTAAAGCGCTGCGTAAACTGTTGGCGCTATATAAATCCTGTATAATAATAAAATTACCTTTTTAAGGCATTATCTTCCAGTCTCCGGATTTGGGCACTGGGTCTTTTTTGCCAAAAGGATGTTACATTTCAGCACAGTGGACCCCAACTAAACTTGTATCAGTATCATTGTGAACGACAATATTCCTCCGCTGCTTTTTTGTGCGTTTTATTGCGCGTTTGTGGAGTGGCACCATTCATTTGAAGGGACCTCCCTCTGCTCCAAAAAACACATTAATCTTCCTGGCGGTATTTCCGAGTGTAGCTCGGAGTAAAGTTTCAGTACCAAAAGCGGTAACCCCGAGCTACACTCGGGCTTACCATGCGGCATTGCTCAGGGATTCCCTGCAGCACTTACCTTGTCCTTCGCTCCCGCGATGCGTCCCCTGCAGCGTCCCCGGCCATCTCCTCCGGCCGTTGCCGGCATCTGGCTTCCGTGTTCCGGTCCCTGTGACGTTGGGAGGTACGGGCGCCGGAACCGGCGGCAAATTTGAAATTTTAAAAAAATGTCATTTTTTTAAAAAATTATTATTACATAGTAAAACATTGCTGTTTCAATGCATTTCACATACATTTTGTCCCGAGTGCTTTGTCCTGCGCCCTGCCTGCATTTTGACTGTTCTTTCTGCGTGGAAACTGAGAAACGTCCATGGCGTCCAAAAAGTGTCCCTTTAGGTCAAAATCGGTTTTAGACCGGCTAGTGAACAGTGATAGTAAATCAGAACCACTTGCAGAATTGAGTGGTAATGATTCGTGGGGGAAATTCATCATCAGACACTGAAAACGATTCTTATTATTATTATTATTATTTTTTTATGATTATTTATTAAATTATAATTTATGATTTCGTGTTTCAAGTTTTATCCTACCCGGGATGTTTACTAGACTCTTGTTCAGACAGATTTCAGTGAGTTATTCCTAAAAATTACAGCCTACAATAAAAAAAAATACATATTTCCATGCAAAATAATGGTACCGCTTTTTCAGCACCAAAAATCTGAAATAATCATACCGCCAGGGAGGTTAAAGAAGCTCATGTATCAAATACTGAAAGTGCGCCAAGTGAGTTTTGTGACAGGCGTTTTTTGCTAATTTTTTGAGCATTTTGTCATACCAACAATGCACGACTGCTGCCCACATTTTGGTTGCCTTTAGCCCGGGTTCACACTGATGCGGTCTGGAACTTGCAGCGTTTTCTGTGCGAATTCCACACCGCCTCAGAATTGCACCCCATTCATGCGAACCGGTGTGTATGTTAAGTTACCAGCACCCTGAAATTGGTCCGCAAAATGCGGTGCGATGTGCAGAATCGGATCGCATAGGTGTGAATACCCATGCAATCCGATTCTAGTGTGGACAAAATAAAGGGTCCTTTTTGGTGCGGATTCGGTGCGATTAGAACCATACAAAATGTGAGGCTCCAATCGCACCGCACACAAATCACATGTGATTTGCAGAGGAATGCGGTGAGGTTCCTCTGTGCATCCCATGCGATGTATCGCACAGCATATATGTGAACCCGGCCTTTAGAAGTAATAACACCGCAAGCGTGTAGCATGGATGTTTCTGCCCACGTTTCTGCTACATCTGGATGTGAACGGGGCCTAAACTGCCACTAAACTCTGGGTGGAAAAATGAAGAAATTCTATTCTGGTCTGTATTCTTAATTCATAAAGTCCCTTCTATTATTCTCAGTCTCCTCTAATTCTCCAAATCCTTTTTTTTTTTTTTTACTTCTGTGATCCAACTTCCTGTTAGAGGGTGTCTACGTCCATTCTCCATGTTCCCCATGTATATAGGAACATAGTCACCCTCTCTTACTGACTCCTAAAATGGACTATGGGACTATGGAGTGTGCAGGGTGCATAATACATGAACGCAACTAACATTTACTACTCGTTCCAAACAAATGGAAATGAGCAGAAAAAGGAGAGGTTCAGAAGCTCACGGGAAACATTACAAAAAAAAAAAACATAGAAACAATTTGATGAAAAATAATTATAGGGCCATTAGGTTGTGGCTGTGTAAGGATATTGTTTAGTGTCACTTTAAAGTGTTACTAAACCCACAACAGTACAATCAGTCTGTATATGCAGTAAAGCATGCTTGTTATACTCACTGTGGAACCTAAGGGGTTAATCCCCTGCATTGTGTAAAAAATGCTGTTTGATCCTGTCTTCTCTGATCCTCCTCTTCTTCTAGTGTCCCCCTCTTATCTCCTGATAAGACATATCGTGTAGAGACACTCTGTACATGCTCAGTTTGGTGTGTATTGCTAGAGAGATTTTATTTTTCTTGGGAGAGTGCATGTGATCAGCACAGGGCCAATCAGCAATGTCCAGACAGAGGTCAGGGGTTCTGCATCCTCCTAGAGCAGAAAAAAACTCCTCCTACAAGCTTTAACTAGTGCTCTGCAAGACACTGATAGAAGTCACAAGACTGCTCTAACTGCTGATGATGAAAAGGTATTTAGCAGTTTATATTTACTAAAATAATTGCATTTCCGTGTTGTGTGTACTGTGGAGAGACCAGATATAGTGAATGCAGGGTCCGGGGAGACCAGATATAGTGAATGCAAGGTCCGGGGAGACCAGATATAGTGAATGCAGGGTCTGGGGAGACCAGATATAGTGAATGCAGGGTCCAGGGAGACCAGATATAGTGAATGTGGGGTCTCCGGATATAGGGATGACCTGGGAGACCAGATATAGTGAATGCAGTCCGGGGAGATGCAGGGATGCGGGATCCGGGGAGACCAGATATAGTGAATGCATGGTCCGGGGAGACCAGATATAGTGAATACAGGGTCCGGGGAGAGCGGATATAGTGAATGCAGGGTCTGGGGAGACCAGATATAGTGAATGCAGGGTCAGGGGAGAGCAGATATAGTGAATGCAGGGTCTGGGGAGTGATATAGTGAATGCAGGGTCCGGGGAGAGCAGATATAGTGAATGCAGGGTCATGGAGAGACCAGATATAGTGAATGCAGGGTCCGTGGAGAGAGCAGATACAGTGAATGCAGGGTTCATGGGAGAGACCAGATATAGTGAATGCAGGGTCTGGGGAGACCAGATACAGTGAATGCAGGGTCCGGGGAGACCAGATATAGTGAATGCAGGGTCCGGGGAGACCAGATATAGTGAATGCAGGGTCCGGGGAGACCAGATATAGTGAATGCAGGGTACGGGGAGACCAGATATAGTGAATGCAGGGTCCGGGGGGAGACCAGATATAAGGAATGCAGGGTCCTAGGTTTAGTAACACTTTAACTTTGAACAGATTTCTTCTGGCTTCCTTTTGTATTCATGGGACATGAAGTGAAGGGAAATCTCCCCAATAGGTATAAAATCTGATTGGTTTTGAACCAATCAAGTGTTAAAGCAAACAAAATTTAAAGTAGTTGCAAACCTCAGACATGAAATATGAACAAAGCATATCCCTCTATAGCAGGCATCACTAAATGGCGGACTGAATACAGACAGTCCTGTCCGGACCGCAGCCACTTAGCAGCCTGAGTGGACTCCTCCTCTCCCGCCGCTGCAACTGTTTGAAATCGGGAGGAATGGCGGGGTGGACTCCTATTCTGTATGTACTTGCCTACCACCGCTGTAGTCGCCACTGCTGTTGAAGTCACAGCAGGGAACATGTCGGGAGGAATGGAAGGAAGGACTCCTCTTCTAAATGTACCGACTTGCCGCCACCACCACTGAACTCAGAGCATGGAGGAGAGCGGGAGGCACTGCAGGTCTACAGTGGGAGTGGGGGAGGGGAGCCAATCTTTCATATTAACAAGCAGGTCACTCCCCTTTTATCAAGAAGGGTTGGAGACCTTCTGTGCCTCCTGCCCTCCTATCTGCTCTGAGTTCAACGGTGGCGGCAGCAAGTCGGTACATTCAGAAGGGGAGTGCTTCCTTCCATTCCTCCCGCCCTCAAAAATGCTGAGTTAAGGTAGGTAGGAGAATATGGGGGGGAGAGGGTTGTGATGTCAGAGGGGGGATATGTGATATGGGGGGGGGGGGGGCTGTGATGTAGGTGATTAGAGGAACTGAATTTATTCTCTCTTGAGAAGAGGAGATTAAGGGGGATATGATCACCATATATAATACATAAGGGGGGATATGATCTCCATGTATAATACATAAGGGGGGATATGATCTCCATGTATAATACATAAGGGGGGATATGATCTCCATGTATAATACATAAGGGGGGATATGATCTCCATGTATAATACATAAGGGGGGGATATGATCTCCATGTATAATACATAAGGGGGATATGATCTCCATGTATAATACATTAGGGGGGATATGATCTCCATGTATAATACATAAGGGGGGATATGATCTCCATGTATAATACATAAGGGGGGGGGGGATATGATCTCCATGTATAATACATAAGGGGGGGGGATATGATCTCCATGTATAATACATAAGGGGGGATATGATCTCCATGTATAATACATAAGGGGGGGATATGATCTCCATGTATAATACATAAGGGGGGATATGATCTCCATGTATAATACATAAGGGGGGGGATATGATCACCATGTATAATACATAAGGGGGGATATGAACTCCATGTATAATACATAAGGGGGGGATATGATCTCCATGTATAATACATAAGTGGGATATGATCTCCATGTATAATACATAAGGGGGGATATGATCTCCATGTATAATACATAAGGGGGGATATGATCTCTATGTATATTACATGGGGAGGGATATGATCAACATGTATAATACATAAGGGGGGATATGATCACCATGTATAATACATAAGGGGGGATATGAGCTCCATGTATAGTACATAAGGAGGGATATGATCTCTCCATGTATAATACATAAAAGGGGATATGATCTCCACGTATAATACATAAGGGGGGGATATGATCACCACGTATAATACATAAGGGGGGATATGATCTCCATGTATAATACATAAGGGGGGATATGATCACCATGTATAATACATAAGGGGGGGATATGATCTCCATGTATAATACATAAGGGGGATATGATCTCCATGTATAATACATAAGGGGGATATGATCTCCATGTATAATACATAAGGGGATATGATCACCATTAGAGATGAGCGAAGTATTCAAAAATTCGATTCGACTGATTCGGCGAATTCGTGGAAAAATTTCGATTCGAGTCGAATATATTCGCTGTGAATTTAACTTAAAAAAGGGTGTTTCTAGGCTTCAGAGAGACTTAATATTAGTGCTGAACACTGTACCTTTAATTTAAATGCCCTTGGAGTCTGCTGGGGAAGAGAAATAATACTGTCAGGCAGTATGACATGCAGATGAGTGCCGTCGATCTTAGAATCACCGCACACTTCACTCATTTGGCCAGTCACGGGGCCAAAACCAGAGTGTGGAGCCACAGTGTGGCGGTGGAGGCAGCAGCAATGGGAGGCCATACAGCACCCTATGACAAAAATGGAAACCACCAGCAGTGTGAGGAGACCTGAAAGTGGCACATGGCAGAGTGTGGCGATAGAGAACAGCAGCAATGGGAGGCCGTACAGGGACCCATGACACACTCTGGACCTGGCAGCAGCATGAGGAGGCGGTACAGGGGCCCATGGCAGATTACGGGCCTGGCAGCAGCATGAGGAGTCGGTACGGGGGCCCATGGCAGATTACAGGCCTGGCAGCAGCAATGGGAGGCCGTACAGGGACCCATGACACAATCTGGACCTGGCAGCAGCATGGGGAGGCGGTACAGGGGGCCCATGACAGATTACGGGCCTGGCAGCAGCATTTGGAGTCGGTACGGGGGCCCATGACACACTCTGGACCTGGCAGCAGCATGAGGAGGCGGTACAGGGGCGCATGACAGATTACGAGCCTGGCAGCAGCAACTTGGACAGGAGGACGTTCAGTTTCTGCACCGTCTGGTGCGTGCTCGCAAACTGTTGTCTCTTGGAAACGGATTCCAAGAAAGACTGCTGACGGAATCCGTGAAGAGGAGTAGCAGGAGAAGGAGCATCTGAACGAGTGGAATATGCCAACAAGCGACAACAGGGGCCCATGACAGATTACGGGCCTGGCAGCAGCATGAGGAGTCGGTACGGGGGCTCATGGCAGATTAGGGGCCTGGCAGC